TTTATTCTAATTGTCACATTTCAGTATGGTAGTCAAGAAGAATATTCACAATGATCTGGAAAGGCCATTGAAATACTCTTCCTTTTTCCATCTACATATGAATATGAAATTGGAATTTCATTGTACATTTCAACCAAAGCAATATATCTTAATAGATTGATTGCATGCAGTCACAGGTATTTTTTCAAACATTAAAAAGGTTTGCAAACTTGTACAGCCGTGCTAGTATTCTCACCAATTCTTTTTGCTTTAGAAAATGTAGTGAGTTTTTATAAACATATATTACTGTAATATGCAAGAAGTCTATTGTTACAGCTAAAGGAATTAACATTGAAAACATGTTTATTTTATTTTCTATTCTAAATATAGGTAGCTATAACCCATTGTCAACAAAAATTCTTTGGACACGATCATTTCTTTTTTGTAAATAACTTTTTAATTGTGAATTGGGTGGTGGTTTACAGAGGAACAATCCAGACACATTTTTGTTTCGCGTTGTTGTTCGTGATGTAGCATCACTTCCTCCACTTCCTCCCTGCATTTCCTGTTTCCATTCTTCTTTCCTCACCCTTTGAACTTTGCCCTTGTGATCTCCAGTGATTGATGATGCTAAGGTGCGGGTACCGCTCTAGTGTTATCGATCCCCCTGGAGACTTGCCTGTTGTTTGGCTGAAACCTGAGCTAAGGAGTCAAGTTCATTTTGAATCCCAAAGAACGACTAAGGAAGGGCCATAGGCACAGGGGCCCACCTGTCTGTGTCATTCCCGGAAGCCTGTCTCTTTCCTGATTTTGAGTTTTGTTCCACAGTCTCTACCCCGTCTATCCAAGATCCTCTAGTGGGCCCCCTTTCCGAGTACAGTACTTGGTAGTGGCATTGACTCCTTAATTTCAAAGACAACCCAAGCATCCTGAGGCTCAGAGAGCCATTGCTGTAAGTCAGTGAACAGAAGATGGGACCAGAAGCTTTGTCAGACGTGCAGGGGGTGGTTTTCAGAGAGGGGAAGCGGGGAAACATATCTGTGCAGTGTTGAAGTAGACAGGTTGCTGTGATTGGTAATGCCAAGCTACACGGGCTGGGTGGATTAGCTGGCCTGGTTCTTTCTCACTGTGGTCTCTTGCCAGGCCAGCAAGACTGCCGTGGCTTCCACCCAGGCTTCTGCCCAGCTTCCCTGTGAAAGCCGAGAGCTGGCAGGCCTTTACTGGTAGATGGGGAGCGTGGGCCAGGCCAGTCATGTGATTAGGATGGAAAAATATGTGAGAAGAGTGGAATCTGTAGGATTGTCAACTTTCTCAGAGGAATCGATTTATGCCACCTGCTGGATATCCCAGGAGCCCCGGTGCCGTCGTGTGAGGCTGGGCTGCTAGAGAATCGAAGCCAGCGACACTCATAGAGGAATAAGAAAGAACTCTCCATCCAGAAGGCATCCTAGCCGGACCCAGCCCTGGTCCGTGGGTCCGATGCGAGCTGGAGCCCCCTTTAGGCTCACGTCGCTGCAGGTTAAGAGGTTCAGAAAGGTGAAGTGGGGATGCCGGGAGCTCACAGACCGGGGGTGGTTGATGGGAAGATGGCAGGGCAACAGCTCTCAGGGGTGGGTGACCCATGTGGCGCCCCTGGAGGCAGACACCGAGCCCCAACAAGGAGGAAGGGGACATTCCCAGGGTCTCTCTTATAAAGAAGGCCACACCTCCCAGGGGGCATCATCAGGCCAGACCCTGATTGACAAGTTCCACTCCACCCCTACACGTGCACACAGATGCAAAACTCAAATCCAAGCTCACTGCCATCGGATCGATGTAGACTCCCAGCGACCCTTCAAGACAGCATAGAACTGCCCCCCAGGAGTCTCTGAGAGAGTGACTCTTTGGGGGCGTAGAAAGCCCGGGATGACCCCCGTGGAACGGCTGCGGGTTTCACACTTGCGGTTTGGGGCCCAGGGTGTAACCCCCATGCCTCCAGGCTCCTCCACACACAGGTGCAAGTTGACAGAGGCTCTTTGGGAGCAGGATGAGGCTTTTTGCTCCCTGTAAAAGCGTACGGCCTGGGAGACCCAGCCGGGCTGTTCTGCTCTGCCCGGTCAGGTAGGTATGCGCCAAATTTGACTCGATGGCAGTGAACGTGTGGGTCACGTCCCACCACTCCCTCCCATTTCAGTCCAGGAACGTTCTGAATCCCAACTCTGCATGCCCTCTGTGGGAGTGGGGTACAGCAGCATCGTGACGTTCAAATGTGTGTGTATGTCGTTTGAAAACAAATGCATTTTGTGTTGTAGAATATGAAAGGTCCAATCACTCAGTTCTACTTATGGAAACTTCAGAACTCGACGTGTGCTTTTCGGCACCTTGCTATCAAGGTGCTTTTGGGGGGTCGGTGGTATGAAGGCGCTTGGCGATCTGACTGGCGATGTGAAAGCAACAGTGAGCACAGGCTAGACTGCTGCCAGGGGTTGGCACATGGCCTCTTGTTTTGGTGGAAGGGCCAGTCCACATAACGCTGTGAGACCTATACTTCAGGGTCCCTCGGTTGCATGGGCCCCATTTGTATTTGTAGTTCTGAATTATTTTTCTTTTCAAAAGAAGCACCCCTCCACCAAAAAAAAAAAAGTGTAATACCAGACATCAAGAAGCTTCATTTTGAGGGGTGCTATGATCGCAAACCTCGCCGTGGCACAGAGCTGGGCATTGTCTGGTGCTGTCGCACACAGGGTCAACGGGTTCGAGCCACGCAGCAGCCCCTGACAGCCGCAGTACCCATGTAAGGGCCTTGGGCACCTGGGCGTTGGCCCGAAAGGCAGCCGTGGACACTTGGGGCGGGTCTTAAGAGGAAGCCATGGATCCCGAGAACATGGTGCGGCATTGCTTTCAGGAGATTTATTCAGACGGTCATTCATGCGATCTTTAGTAGCCCTTATTCAAACGTAAGAGAACTGAGGAATCGGAGTTTTATTCTGTCAACCGTACGGTAAAGGAGCCCTGGCTAGACGGTGGGTTAGGTGTTGGATTGCTGACTGCAGGGTTGGTGGTTCAAACCGACCGGCCGCTCTGTGGGAGAAAGAAGAGGCTTCCTGCTCCTGTAGGTGGACCGTCTCGGAAACACACAGGAGCAGCTCTGCTCTGCGCTGTCAGCCCAATGCGTCCGAGTGGGTGTTTTTGGATTCCACACGTATGGAGCTTTCCTTTTTCTTTTTCCTTTTTGTATAACGAGCTAACAAGTCATTCCCACTTGGTATTGGTGGACCCCCCCCCACCCTTTTTGTTTTCGGTTCAGACGGATCCCTGAAGCATCTGCACTTGATCTTAGCCATAAGGCCGAGAAGCGGTCCCCTGAAACATCTGAAGAGGACTTGGTGATGCTTGTACTTTTCAGACCCGCAGGCGCCTGGGGACCGTCCTTTATTTATTTCACTTGTTTTATTAGGGGCTCATACAACTCTTATCACAATTCATACATACATCAGTTGTGTAAAGCACATTTGTACATTCATTGCCCTCATTAGTCTCAAAACATCTGCTCTCCACCTAAACCCCTGGCATCAGCTCCTCATTTTCCCCCCTCCCTCCCCGCTCCCCCCTCCCTCATGAATCTTTGATAATTTATAAATTATTATTTTGTCATATCTTGCCCTGTCCGACGTCTCCCCTCACCCACTCTTCTGTTGTCCATCCCCCAGGGAGGAGGTCACATGTAGATCCTTGTAATCGGTTCCCCCTTTCCAACCCATCCTCCCTCTGTCCTCCCGGTATCGCCACTCTCACCACTGGTCCTGAAGGGATCACCCGTCCTGGAGTCCCTGTGTTTCCAGTTCCTATCTGTACCAGTGTACATCCTCTGGTCCAGCCAGATTTGTAAGGTAGAACTGGGATCTTGATAGTGGGGGGAGGAAGCAGGGGACCGTCTTTTAAAGCCTCAGCACAGAGACAGTTCCCCAGCCCTGAGTCCTCTTTTCTTTGGGAACCTTTCAGCTCCCTTTCCCCCAAGAGACTTCCTCTGTTTTCTCTCTGGATAGTGCTAGCGAGCACGCCTAACAGTGGCAACCCCACAGCACCCTGCCAGCTGCTCTCCACACCTTCTCTCTCAGCAGACAGCTAGTGAATAGTCTAGAGAAATACAACCAGTGGCACTCATGTCTGAATAAAAGAAATTCCTATCAAGAGAGCAGCCTCCTCAACCACAGGGCGGGGCGAGCAGCTGCAGCCCAGCTCAGGTCTGTAGGTCAGATGCTAAGCTGGAGACCCTTCCCAATTCACGGAGCTACTGGACCAGCAAGGCAGGAAGACGAAGCATGAACTGGGAAGACCACAGGCTGGTGGCGTCAGAGTTGAGTGGCTCCAAAGACAGGGCACATGGCTGGCTTTCCACGTCCACATGGTGGCGCGGGCCTAAGCTCCAAGACACCAGGTGCAGGGTCCGGGCCAGCGGGAAGAAAAGAAGGCGTATTCTTGACAGGGTCTCTTTTTATGAATACCAAACAGGCCACGCCCCCCAGGCGATGTCATCAGACTGTGGTTTGTACCTTCTAGAGGAGGAGTTTCCTACAAGCTACTGAAGATTCTGGCCCAGCCAGGTTGACCCCAAACCGGTCACAGATGGTATTGCTGCCCTTATGTTTCACGTGAGAACAAGCCGGAATGAGTCAAGGGACTTCTTCATTTGAGGTCGAGTCACTGGCTGACGGTCACACAGCATAGATGGTGATGGAACCGGGACTCCAACTTCCAGTGTGTTTGATGCCAAGCACCTTTGACTTGTTTCGTCTTCTTGTGTCGGCCAAGTATCTAGTAAGGAGAATCAGAACTTTCCCCAAACAAAACACTAATGTGTGGGAGCCCAGCAACTCTTTTGTGCATGTGAAAGGTTTGCTCACACCAGCCATTTCCAGGATTGGGAATTCTTTTAGGTCTCTAATTGTAGTGACCCATCGACAGCTTCAGCCAGCGTTGCCTCACACGCAAGTGCATGTGATCAATACTGTCCTAATGCCCTTTCTTGCTGCCTGATGTAGGTATTTGGCACGAGTAGGAGATCTGGAAGCGACTGACACGGAAGATCCAGATCTGAATTATGGGCTTGTCGTGGACTGTGGCAGCAGCGGCTCCCGGATTTTTGTCTATTTCTGGCCAAGACATAATGGGAATCCTCACGATTTGCTGGACATCAAACAGATGAGAGACCGCAACAGCCAGCCAGTGGTGAAAAAAATCAAGCCAGGTACCAATCAGAGCCTTGTTGATCACTCTGGGCACGAGAGAGGGGAGCAGAGGAGAGGGTGAAGGAAATCCACAGTCTTCCTTGAAAGTCTGGGTCGTGGGAGCCCTGTCTCCTTTGTTGCTAGCCCGCCCTCCCATGAGTCCATAAGTGTTTAGGACCCTGAGGAAGACCACGTATGGGGTCTGAGTCTTCCGCATCTATGGGGACGCCTTTTGACAGAAAGTGTTTTCTTGTCCTTAAGGAATCTCCGCGATGGCAGACACTCCCGAACATGCCAGCGATTACCTTCGACCTCTGCTGAGCTTTGCTGCTGCTCACGTGCCTGTGAAGAAGCACAAGGAGACCCCCCTTTACATCCTGTGCACCGCAGGCATGAGGCTCCTTCCTGAGAGGTGAGACAGACTGGCTAAGAGAAGCCCCAGGACAAAGGATGACACGGAGTTGAAAGGCCTACTCCACACAACTTCCTTTGTGGTTCCCTGGTCGGAAGCTGGGAGTGGGACATGTGGTTGACAAATGGGACCACATGACGCCTACTTGAGCCACCTGTTGCCAAGTGGCACACCTGTCATACCTGCATGCCATTTGCCTCTCTGGGACCAATCTCTATATGAGATGGTGGTCCATTCGGCCCCAGAGAGGACGCATAATTACAGAAGGGTAGTGTGAGAGTTGCCCGAAAGACTGAGCACTTAGGGTCTCTTAGGAGGGCTTAGGAGGGCTTTGGTGGGAACGCCGTGCGCTCTGTACCCTGGTCTAGGTGCCTGGAATTGTTGGTGAATCCCTCCCTTTGCTGCTGTGCATAAGGCTAGTACACAGCTCCTTCTCCATTCGTCGCTCGTTTGGCCTATTGTTAGTGTCCTCACTCACGTGAACCTAGGTGCAGGAGAACGGCACCGCCGTCCTCACAATATTAGTTTACCATTCCCTTTTTCAGAAAAAAAAAAAAAGTACTCAGCGCCCCTCCCCTCCCCCGCCATGAAAAACTAGAGCCCATCATCCAGGGTGGAGTGTGGGAATCTGCGCTGGCTGCCTCCTTGGATTGTCCCAGGAACCCTGTGGCACAGTGGCTAGGATAAGGTGACCAGACATTCCGCTTTTGGCGGGACAGTCCCGAGTTTCAACAATTTTTCCCCGCATCCTGTGGCATTTTTAAAAAGTCCCGATTTTTGGAAAGAATGCACGACAAGCTAGGGTAGACGGTTTTCGGCTGCCATGTGGCTATTTCACCAGGATATGAGTTTTATCAATGGTGTCCCGCTTTACCAATGTTAAAATCTGGTCAGCTTAGGCTAGGAGTTTGGCCGTAATCCACAAAGGTCAGCAGTTTGCAACCACTGGCTGCTTTGAGGGAGAAAGGTGAGCTTTCTACTCCTGTGAAGAGATACAGTCTCGGGAACTCACAGGGCCCTTCTACCCTGTCCTATGATGAGATTACTATTCCGTGCCATCAGGTCCATGCTGACTCACTGCGACCCCCTGTGGGCTTCCGAGCAGGTCTCTGTCCCACGAGTGGCACACATTTTGTTGCATAGCCCTGGTCATGGTCCACACACGGCAACATCACTCTTTCCGTCTCCTGTTTCCCTTCCTCCTCCTTTCTTGGCCTTTCTGAACTGTGCCCTTGTATAAATGCACCTGCCCATTTGCTCGCCAGGGGTTGATGATGCTAAGGCAGCGGTTCTCAACCTGTGGGTCACGACCCCGTTGGGGGGCGAACGACTCTTTCACAGGGTTGGCCCGATTCATCACAGTAGCAAAATGACAGTGATGACGTAGCAACGAAAATAATATTATAGTTGGGGGGGTCACCACACCATGAGGAACGGTAGGAAAGGGTCGCAGCATGAGGAGGTGGAGAACCGCTGCTCTGAGGGGCGGGTCCCTGCTTAGCGTTCTTGTCCCTCACAGACCTGTCCGTTGTTTGGATGAAAATTAAGCCCCGGGGCTGAGTTAATGTCTAGACTGGGTGGGTGACTCAGGACTGCTGTCCAGGGGGTTCCACCAATGCCTATCCGACCAGTGAGCTTGGTCTTGTTTGTCATTTTGAGTTGTGTTCCGTATTTATCCTCTCTCTAAACAGGACCTCCGAAGGTGATCTCTTTCAGAGCAGTTGGCGCTGGTAGCCAGGCACCATCTAGTTCTTCAGTCTCCGGGTCGCAGAGATGTTGATGTTGTGTAATTGTCTAGGGGCCTAATTTTCTCCTTGTGTGCTCCACTGCCTCCACTCTGGACAGGGAGAGGCCACTCGTGTGCCTTCGAAGGGCTCACAGCTGTTCTCAGACCCCAGACCTTACTCACCCGAGGAGGAAGGAGAGCATTGACTTGTGTTTGATGTTATGTCGGTATCCGTATCTCCTGTTCTTTGCTTTTTTTGCTGGGTATAGTGTACTTTATTGATGGTACATGACAAGGTCGAGTTCTCTAAGCCTCTCCCCTTCCTTCAGGGGGTCTGGATGGAATATTCTCAGTGTGTTGGGGGATTGAATCAGGGGCAAAGACTCCCCAGCAGCTGAGGGTCTCTCTTCCTCTAGTGCTGTTGCTGGGGCTGGTGGTCCAGGGGGCTCTTACTCCTTGGAGGCCATGTGGACCATGAGGTCCACCACTCTGTGGCTGTAGCCAGATTCATTGTCATACCAGGAAATGAGCTTGACAAAGTGGTTGTTGAGGGCAATGCCAGCCCCAGCATCAAAGGTGGAAGAGTGGGGGGTCACCCAGCATCAAAGGTGGAAGAGTGGGGGGTCACTGTTGAAGTCACAGGAGACAACCTGGTCCTCAGTGTAGCCCAGATGCCCTTTAGGGGACCATCGGCTGCCTGCTTCACCACCTTCTTTATGTCATTGTACTTGTCAGCTTTCTCCAGACGGCAGGTGAGATCCACGACGGACACATTGGGGGTGGGGTCACAGAAGGCCATGCCAGTCAGTTTCCCATTCAGCTCCTGGATAACCTTGCCCACAGCCTTGGCAGCGCCAGTAGATGCGGGGATGATGTTCTGAACAGCCCCACGGCCATCACGCCAGAGTTTCCCAGAGGGGCCATCCACAGTCTTCTGGGTGGCAGTGATGGCATGGACTGTGGTCATGAGTCCTTCCATGATGCCAAAATTGTCATGGATGACCTTGGCCAGGGGGGCTAAGCAGTTGGTGGTGCAGGAGGCATTGCTGACAATCTTGAGGGAGTTGTCATATTTCTCGTGGTTCATACCCATCACAAACATGGGGGCATCAGCAGACGGGGCAGAGATGATCACCCTTTTGGCACCGCCCTTCAAGTGAGCCCCAGCCTTCTCTACGGTGGTGAAGACACCAGTGGACTCTACGACATACTCAGCACCGGCCTCAGCCCACTTGATGTTGGCGGGATCTCGCTCCTGGAAGATGGAGATGGCCTTCCCATTGACGTTAAGCTTCCCATTCTCAGCCTTGAGAGTGCCATTGAACTTGCCGTGGGTGGAATCATACTGGAACATGTAGACCATGTAGTTCAGATCAATGAAGGGGTCATTGATGGCAACAATTTCCACTTTGCCAGAATCGAAAGCAGCCCTGGTGACCAGGCGCCCAATGCGGCCAAATCCGTGCACCCCGACCTTCACCATCGTGCCTCCGGGAGGCGGCTGGGACTGCACGGGAACAACGGGAGAGGCGGCTGTCTGGCGCACGAGGAGGAGCAGAGAGCCGTTTTTGCTTATTTTTAAAAGCAAGCTTTACCAAAACCACAGCAGCAACTTTCATTATCAGAGGAAATCTTAGTAGCAAGACAAAGCAACAAAAAGCCCCGCTCTGACCCTCCTCCCAAGCCCAGCTCCCTGCCAGCCTGTCGATTCCAACACCCGGCAATCCTACAGGAAGGGCAGGAAAACTTGGGTTTTTGAGACGGTAGATCTTTACAGAATAGAAAGCCTCATCTTTCGCCCTCGGAGGGGCTTGTGGTTTCGACTGCTGACCTTCCAGGTAGCAGTCCACTTACTCCATCGGGCCTCCTGATGACTGCTGTCCGTCCAAAGTGTGTTCCCTTCGTCACAGCCCCTTCTCTGCGCCCACCCATGTGAAGTTCCTACAAAGGGCAGAAGGGGCCATCGTTACGTATGCAGCCTGGCATCTTTTGTTTTGCACAGAAGTAACATGCCCACCGTTCCGTGTTCTAGAAGGCCCGGGAAGAGTGCAGCAAGCACAGGTGGTGCCACATCCCCACGTCTGTGTGTGGCCTGACCCTCACCACGAAGGAAGGGGAGGCAGGTGATAGAAAAAGTGGACTTGGAGGTCAAGGTGGCCTTGTTGACCGCAGGGCCGGGTGGAGAAGCTGGCGGATGGTTTAGCCACATTTGGTCTATCTGGAGCAAACCAGAGGCTTGCTCTGTGCCGGCGCTGCTCAGCATCACCTGTTTGTTAAAGAGATGTCCATCCCAGCAGAGCCCTCCATGCTGCTCCGCCCCGTTTGTCTCAGATGTTTGCGATGGGAGTGGAAGCGCCGAATATGAATATTTATTTAGAATTTGAAGAAAACGGCCTGTTCTCATTTGGTTGTCAGGTGCCCCTGCCGGGTCTCTTCGGAGTTGCTGGTGAGTTTGAACTGCTGACCCTCGAAGCTAGTAGCCTAGTGTGTCACTCACGCTGCCCCCGGGCTCCCTGAGAATACTGCTGGCATACTTAGACCGTTCGAGGAAAAGCAGTAGCACTGTAGACGCTAAGCCTCAATTGTTGTTCCCCAAGTTGGAGACATGGTGACCTTTGGAGTCTGAACCTGACCTGGGTTTGCCTAATGAGTTATATTAAAAAAATAAAAATTTCAACCCTTGAAACCTGGAAAAGAGATTAAAAAGGTAATTATTAACAAGTGAAGGAGTCTATAAAAACTTCTGGAACAAACAGTACTTCTTTGTGGTGACGTAAAGACTGGTTATATCTTGTGCATGAAGAGCTGAGGATGAACTTGTCTTAATTTAAAGCCTTTCTTTCCGAGTCAGTAGAAATGATGTGGTTACGTCTGCTTTATAATTGTGAAACAGTGTTGCGATGTCCTGTGCCTTATTCAGACTCAGCCTGGGAGAGTCAGAGTTTTATTTTAAGCACGATTGGAATGATAACATTATATAAGGGAACAGTTGGAATGATAACATTATATAAGGGAAGGTATTATTACCGTGACCACATGGCCTTTTCCGTAGAAGGCTACACGCGGGAAACAGCCTAAAGCTGTGAAATCAAAGGGGCTTGTTGCCAAAAGGAGTGGGCTGGAGGCGGGTGAGGGAGCAGCGAGGCCCGCCCAAGGTCAAGCCCAAGGACCAGGTGAGACCGTTTGGGATCAGAAAGCTTAACAGTTAACTTTTGGGTTTTCGGTTCTTTTCCAGGAAGCAGTTGGCCATCCTGGCTGACCTCGTGAAAGACCTACCTCTGGAGTTCGACTTCCTCTTTTCCCAGTCTCAGGCCGAAGTGATCTCTGGGAAGCAGGAAGGTACTGGCTCCAGTAACCCTGGCACGGCCTCTCTACTGGGTGTTTAGGATTCCTATACATCTGATTTTGATCCAACAAATCCGAGGCGATTCGTAATCACTGCTGCATAGCAATCAAATCTGTGCCTGTGGTGGTTGGACCCGAGTAAGAAGTGCTGGGCCTTCCTTAAAGATTCTGTGTTGCTCGTCAGCAGCGTGTCAATGCTGCTGCTCCTCCAGAAGGCTGGCCGCAGCCTTTCCAGAGCTGATGTGAGAGCTGGCCTGCTTGTGTGGGGCATCTCCACTCAAATCCCACTCCCCGTAGTACACGGAGTGGGGAGGGCTTATGTCACAAAATGGGAGGTTATTGTGTCATATTACAAAGTAGAGGACACCCCCACAATGCTGGGAATCACGCCCAAGTGGGAGTGACACCCAGTGTCAACCGTCCACTCAGGGACGCTCCCTTCACTGCACTCACTGTCCAGTGTGGATACTTCCCTAAAAGCTCCGACTACATCAGTTTGAGTTTTTTGGGTGGAGGTGCGGAAGTGGTCTCTTATGGCCCAAATGTGTGTAATGAAGTACATGGAAATCCCTTAGAAAGAGGAGAAAAACATATGTATCTTCTAGTTACAGTTCATTGGAGGGAAAAGACAGACATTAAAAAAATCAGTATTTTTCCGTCCTAACATACACATTTGGTTCTTCTATGTCTTTTTTGAGACGTTCTCTCCCTCCTTCCTTGCCTTTCTTGGCTGTGATAACGGCTCTGCCATCCTCGTTGGTACTGCCAACATCGTGCCACCTTGGAGTCGGCGTCTGCTGGCTAACTTTTCCAGTTTGAGTTCAGATTTTCCTGGTTCTTTGTATACAAAGTGATTTTATATTGCCTCCTGGACGTTTCGGATATTACATCACGAGGCGCTGGGTCTTGCTTAGATCCTAAGGAGAATGCTGCTTTGCGTGTGTGCTTGTTTTAGCGTTCAGCTGAGCGCGACTCGGGTCTCAAGTTCTGGCCCTTCTTCAGTGGACAGTGATGTCAGTTCTGTCATCATTTTGGCCAAGCTGAGGCGCGTGCAGGAAAGCAGCTCAGTCCTAAAGCCTGCAGCCGACTGCTGTGCATCAGACACAGGCATGTTTGCCCCCTGGGGTTCGCCTGCCCCTTTAGAGAATAGGTCGCCTGCGCTCTTTCTTCTCTCTGCTCTTCTGGTTCCCTGGGCTTCACTTCCATGGTCTTCTGGGGAGAAGGCTGAGGCTGCAGTTAGTCCACCCTGCAACGTGCTTCTCCCAGTCCTGTCTGCACCCAGGGCCACGTGGCGAGAAAGAAGTTGCCCAAGAAGAAAGATAAGCGCTAGGGCTTTGCCCCCACACTCTTGGGCCAAGCGTTCCTCGGGTCAGAGAGGATTCACCACCCTCAGTTGGAAGTCGCTTCTGTGGGATGGCCTGAGGGTTAGGATGGCAGAGAAGGGGATCAAGAAAAGGATTCAGAGACTTTCTTCCCAGTTTCTGAATCTCCAGTTTCCTTTTCCACTTCCTGGACCAGAAAGCAAACAACCTGAAGCTCTTTCTGTTAGACACCCAGTGTGCACTTCCGTGGCCCAAGCTTCCTTGAGTGGAGGCCAGGCACCATGTGAGGCAAAAGGGAAACTCATTACTGTTTCAGTGGTATTTGCATTACTCTTTAGAGCCCTCAGAAGGCTGTTCCCTGCTTTCTTTTCAGTGTATGTTTGCTTCCAATGGAGATAAAGGTTGGAGTGTACTTACTTAATTTTGCCTGGAACAAAACCTGAAGATTATATAGTTTTCCTCTTCATTGAAGAAAATAAGGTCATACAGCCATTCAGAAAATGCACATACTTTTTAAAGCGGGAGGAATCAAAGGGTAAAAGATTTTCAGTCCACATATCAAGCGTATGATTACTTATTTCCGAAGAGAGCGGAGCAGCTCGGGGGTAGGCGTCTACATGGTCTCAACCATAAAGAATAAGCAAGAACCTTTATCTTCTTTTCTTAGGGGTTTATGCATGGATTGGAATCAACTTTGTTTTGGGAAGATTCGACCATGAAGACGGTGAGTAGTATTTTCTTAATCTCACATTTCTTTGAAACCGAGCTGGAGAACTGGACGTTGTGGCCTGTGTGTCAGCCTGTCAGCACTCATTTGGAGTTGTTTTCCTTTCTTTTCTCATTCAGACCGCTGTTTCTGGTCTTTTGCCTTCTCTAACTTTTCGTTAAGTTGCTGAGAGTGTGTCCAGCAGAACCCAACACCCACTCCACCCTCTCTCTGTCTGATTCAATGACATCGGGTCTAGCCTTCAAGTTGTGCAACCACTCACCCCCCTTTCTCTGCATCTTTCCTTCCCCTTGAACATGAACTCGCAGCCCCCTAAGCTTCTGATCTAGCCTTTCGGATTGCCGTTGTCTGTCTGATCGCATTTAGAACATCCTCAGTACTCACGGCAGGCCTTCTTGACTCATTAAGCTAAACTATTGCTTGATAGATCGGAGACTTCAGGGGATGGTTTGGGTTTAAGGATTAAGGCTTGAATCGTATCGCAGGACAATCATTTGGGGGCGTCGTCTAGACTGAAAAGCTCCAGAACGTCTTGATTTTTGTGAACATTTTAAAGTCTGTTCCACATTTCCCTCATCGCTCCTGCCCTTGATCAGAGTTCTTCTGTAGAATCTTTGGTCAAAGTGTCCGGTAATTGTAAAATGATGATGATGTCTCTGATGTGATCCAGAGACATAGATAAACCATAGCTATACAAATGGATTTGGAGCCCATGGTTAATCGCAACCCTGATCTGAGAACACTTGGTTCCGATGACCGGGCCCTACTCGATACTTGCTTTTAGGAAGACACCACTGAAGATATGGGTGCCAGAGCAAACTGTGATGCAGAAATCAAATGGTGCCCGGCTATCAGAGAGAAGAACACCCGGGGTCTTACAGATGTTTCTGAAAATAAATAGCTATCTAAGTGAGATGTCGACCAAGTCCACACAGAAGCACACCAGCCGGTGGGAGCCTAGGGTTGTCAATGTTGTGGTGGTTGTTTGGGGCCATCTGGTTGGTTCCAACCCATCGTGACCCTGTGAACAACAGAAGGAAACACTGCCCGGTCCTGTTCCGTCTTCACGGCTGTTGCTCTGCTTGAGCCCAAGAGTTGTAAATAATATAATCCAAATCCGGAAGCGGCAACGATAGCCGAGCTTCAGTTCTGAACACCCACTTTGCTGAAGGCTGTGGGTGACCTTGGACGCCCCAGCCGTAGTCCAGAGGTGTGAGTAGCCTTGCTCGCAGATAGGGGACCTTGGCAAGGCGATGGCGGCAGATATGCTTAGGTTAAAATGTAACACCTTATCATCTGATCTCTCTTTTGACCCGTTTCAACAGTTGTTTTAGTTTTTAGCATTTCCTGCTTCCTTTTGATCGTTAAGTGTTTGTTTTGGATGATTTTCTGCATATGAAATGCAAGATAGGTCAAGCTATAGACAGTAGATGGATACATAATTATCCAGGGGGATGGCAGGGAAGGACAGAGTGAAATGGGGAGCGAAGGACAATGATAGAAAGAAGAAAATGTTCTGAAATTGATTGTGCTGATGATTGCACAACTCCTCTTATGCCTGAACAACTAAATTACGTGATCTGTGAACTACATGCCGGTGAAATAATTTTTTTTAATTGTTCAGTAGTGGTAAGTGGGCATCACCCAGCTCGGGTCTCATAGCCAGCAAGGCAGTCGTCCCATGATTCCAATAGTCCTGAGCTTCGTGGTACAGCAGGCTAGTCCATGCTCCTCCTTAGAGGAGATCAAAGCCCCAAACCCATCGGCAGGATCTCCACGTGGATCCAGCCTCCGAGGAATCGCACCGGCCATTGCCCAGGGATGTGACTAGCCTTGCTCCCAGAGCGAGTGGATTGGAAAGCGGACTGATGTAGGCGTAGTTAGATGAACACGTGATACCGCATCATTGGCTCCCCCTTTTGACTCATTTTAAATTGGTTCCAGGTACTGTGTTCTGCTTTCTTTTTTACGGAGATTTCCCCCCTCTGTTTTGTTATTGTTGCCTTTTATTTGTTTGTTTTGGTATGTTTTTCTTTATATGAAACCCAAGATACGTAAATCTCCAAAGACAGCAATTGAAGTTACAATTCCTTGGTGGTGTGGCAGGGGAGGGGA